AACCCTCAGTGTCGCCCCCGTACCGGACCGGGACCAGCAACGGGATCGCAACCCTCGGTGTTGCTCCCGCGCCTCGCTCAGCCAGTGAGCGGGAACCGGTCTGTATGTGGGATCCGAACCCTCGGCGGGAGCGCCGCCACGCTTCCCAAGCGGCGCACTATAGCAGTGCGCCACCGGGCCGGCCCCATTTCCAAATTGTTGACTATAGTTATAATACTTTAGACTCATATAACCCAATTCCTATTTTTTGTGAAAATTTAGAAGTACATTTATAATTTTATAAATAATTCATTGACATATATGTTTTCTGTATCATGTCTTAGTTTGTTTTAAACATTGAATGTTAGAGCTGAAGAATTTTTGGAATTTTGGTTATAAAACATTTTTTCTAGAATGGTTGGTCTTTTTTTAGCAGATAAAATAATGCAGTATTCAGGGTCTTGTGACTTTTTTTCTGGAAGTGTTCTAAGTATGTTATCTCTTTAAGTATAGATTCGCATTCTCAAGTCTCCACAAGAGGTAAGACCTGGTGAAAAGCACTATAATATGGCAAAAAGTTATCCAAATGAAGAAAAGGATGCTTGGGATGTGAAGATGTTGCTAGAGGTAGGTCATAGAATCCTGGGTATGGTGCTGCTAACACCACTTTGTAATTTCTAAAATGTGGATTGTATCTGCATTAATGAAGGGGCATAGTAGAAAAGATTATGGAAAACCAAGAGCACTCCTCCCCAGCTGATCCAATAGGGGCCCCATCCCCTGTAGCAGGGCAGAAGACAAATGGCAAAAAACTGTGAAAAAGAAAAATGCTGTAAAGCAATCTTTCTTAACCTTAATATATTTGCAGATCTAATGAGGCAGTGGGTCTTCTCTAGAAAATAAATGGATACCAAATATATAGATTTTTTTGCACACCATTTTGTTAGGTCTGAACAAAAGCTTCTCTCTGCAACTTACCAGTGGATCTCTTAGGGTAGTAATTACCAAATAGGCTATGAACATGTATCGGACAGTAGAAATATAACTTAGAGATTTGAAAGTTTTCCACAGGAATTTAAAAGTTTTGTGTTTTTTTTCTGGTGATCTAAGGATAGTTAACCTAAATATTCTATATTATATGGATTCTTGCCTTATAATAGGATATTGCCATGTGAGTCCAGTGTCTGAGTTTGTGTGTACTATTGCTTTGTTGTAAAATGACCTTCTATGAAGTGATAGTGTTTGTCTTTTAATGTGTTGGTAAGTGTATTAATCCAATTGCTGCTCTAACCACAGATTTAGCAGCTTAGAACAACACTTTTCTTTATTTCATATTTTTCCTGGGTTAGTCCAAGCATAGTGTGGCTCATCTGGATTCTCTGCTTGGGGTCTCCTTAGGTCAAAGTCAGGTTTTCAAAGTTTGAATGGATTTAAAGTATATTGTCAACTCTTCATCCAAATTAAGAACCATAATGTGCAGGATCTGTATAATACTCTGACATACAAGGGTACTTCAAAAAGTTCATGGAAAGATTCATATTATCTTTTAATTTTATTTTTCCATGAGCTTTTTGAAGCACCCTCGTACTTTATTTATTTATTTATTTATTTATTTTTATATTTTTCCATGAGCTTTTTGAAGCACCCTCGTACTTTATTTATTTATTTATTTATTTATTTATTTTTATTTTTTTGGTCTTTTGTCTTTTGTCTTTTTCCGTGTCCAGCAACGGATCGCAACCCTCAGTGTTGCCCCCGTACCGGACCGGGGACCGGCAACGGGATCGCAACCCTCGGTGTTGCTCCCGCGCCTCGCTCAGCCAGTGAGCAGGAACTGGTCTGTATGTGGGATCTGAACCCTCGGGCGCCAGCGGGCCGGCCCCCTCGTACTTTATTTTAAAGTAGGTAGATTGTGATAGCAACATTACTCTTGTAAAGAGGCTTAGCAAGTGTCTGAGTCAGCTTGGGGTGCCATAAGAAAATACCGTGCACTGGGTGGCTTAACCAACAGAAATTTTCTCACAGTTCTGGAAGTGAGAAGCTCAAGATCAAGGTGTTGACAGAATTGGTTTCTTCTGAGGCCTCTCTTCTTGGCACGTAGATGCTGTCTTCTCCCTGTGTCCTCACATGGTCTTTCCTTCAATGTGTGTCTGTGTCCTAATTTCTCCTTTTTTATAAGGACACCAGTCCTGTTGCTTTAGGGCCCACCCATATGACCTCATTTTACCTTAATTACCTCTTTAAGGGTCCTATTTCTAAATACACTCACATTCTGAGATATTGGGGGACAGGACTTCAATATATGAATTTGGGGTGGCATAGTTTATTCCATAACAGCAAGGTTAAATGACTTGTTCATGGTTAGTCATACAACTAGTAATGGCAAAGGTAGAATTGAGCAGTCAGATCTTCTGACTTCTAGAACAGCTGAACCACTGCACCTCTCTACTTTTCTGTGGGTCACCAGATGGCCCATGTCAGGGAGGAACCAGAGGGAAGAACGACTTGTATTTACAGATGCTCCTCTTCAGTTCTCTTCCTTAAGGCTCCTAGAAAACTTCTAGAAGCCCACCCTATTACATGGAACTCTCAAAATCCCAGTGTAGCCACTTTTCATTCCTCATGCAGGGCTTTCTGATCTCTCATTTTAAGCATTTTAAAAATCAAGTTTTTTAACTTGAAGTCTTTTTAAACCAGACTGTTATAGAGGTTTTTAAAGTAATATGTGAAGCCCTTTTAAATTAAAAAAAAAATATATATATATCCTCACAAACCTATGTTGTTGACTTAAATAGATGTAGATTTTTATTTTAGTAACTAGGTATATATGTTTTTATATGTTTATATTTATAACTCCTATGTATTGTAAAACCAAAAAAAAAAAAAGAAAAACTTAAAGATCCCTGCAAAACCAGTATAAACCCCTTGAAATCCTTCAGAAGGATCTGTTTTGGTATAGAGGGTTGTGATCCGTTGCCGGACACGAAAAAAGACAAAAAGGAAAAAAAAAAAACAAAAACAGTAATATGTATTTTTTATTTCTACCTAAAAAAAAAAAAAAAACCTGAGGGTTGTGATCCGTTGCCGGACATGAAAAAAGACAAAAAGGAAAAAAAAAAACAAAAACAGTAATATGTATTTTTTATTTCTACCTAAAAAAAAAAAAACATGTTTTTTGTGGGAAATAGAAGATTAAAGCATAAAGAAGAAAGTAAAAATGACCTGTCAACCTTCTTTCAAGACATTTTAGGACTATTGCTTTTCTTGAACACCTCTCTCCTGCGGCTCCTTTTAGGGTTCCTTGTGTCCTAGTCCTGCAACACAGCTGTCATTCTAAGGCACCTCACACTTTCTCATTTCCTGGATCCCACATTCTCCTCTTTCTTCATTTATGCCATCATTTTGGTGCAGTATATCCTCATGGAGCTTCCTAAGAAAAGATATATGAGATCCAAATTCTTGGGATTTTGCATATCTGAAAATGTCTTTATTGTACTTTTAAACTTGATTGATAACTTGGCTGGGTATATTCTCAGTTCTCATGTTCTCCATTATCTTGTAATGTAATGTTCATGCTGCACTTAGACTCTGAAGCCATTCTGAGTCCTTATCTGTTGTAGGTGACCTGTTTTTTTCTCTAGAAGATTTAGGATTTTTGTTTTTGCCCAGCTATATTTGGTACAGTATTTTGTGTTTTTCTAGAAATAACAGAAAATCCAATGAACAGTGACTTAAATAAGAGATTTAATTGTCTCAGTCAACAGTGCATTCAGGGATAGCATTCTCCAGGTGGCACAGCAGCTCAGAATGCTCTCAGGGCCCAGGGTCTCCTAACTTTCACTCAGTCATTCTAAGCACGAGGCCTTTGTCTTCATGCTTATCATCTCATAGCCACAAGATGGTTCTCTGCTGTGTTGGAGAAAAAGAACATGGCCAGCTTAATCTTTCCTCCTTAAAAAGCTTCTCTGGAAGCCTTATCTGGCTTCTATTTATATCTCACTGGACAGAACTGGGTCACATAACTGCCCTTAGCCTCAAGAAATGTGGGAAGGTGGCTGTTTTAGCTGAATATATTGCTGCCCTGAGCAGAATTAGGGTTCTTTAAGGAAGAAGGGGAGACTAGCTATTGGTAGGAAATCACAGTATCTGATACACTGATATTTTGACTAAGATGTTATAACTTGGTGTATGTATTTTTTCTTCTGTGTTGGGCAGCTAGGCCCTTCAATCTGGAGACTTGTGTCTTTAAATTATGCAAAATTTTCTTGTACTATTTCTTTGATAATTTTTGCCTCTTTTTTTCTATTTGGACCTGCTTTAAATCAGATATTTGATGTCCTAGAATGATAGTCTCGTTTTCCTTAAGTTTTTCTCCTTTTTTCCATGTGTTTGTCATCTTATTCTGTTTTCTAGATGATGTTCCTCATTTTATCTTGAGTCATTCTTTTGAATTTTTTATTCCTGCCAGCATTTTTTGGTTTTGGTAGCCCTTTTATTCTTTTTCTTTTTTATGGTTTCCTGTACTTTTATGGTTGCAGTATTTTATTTTCTCTTTCTACTTGAGTACCTTTTTTTCACCTTCCAAAGTTTTGTTGACATCTATTCTCTGCTCTTGTCTCATCTCCTGTTCTTTGTTCTTGTTGGGTTATATACTTTTTATTCCTTTCCTATTGTTTTGGTGGGATTCTATGAATGAGTAGAGGTAAATGTAGTATACGCTGTTTTACTGATAGATTCCCATTATTGATTTTAACTCTCAAAAATAAAAAAGTTAAAAGCCATCAATTTAAGTATTGGGAGGAGTGTAGCAATATTGGTGAATGATAGAAAATCATGTGGAATGTTAATTATATAAGTGCGTAGTATTTAGGGTTTTTTTATGCTGCTGTAATATAAATCCCTCTCTTTCCAGACCTTCTGAAAAGTCAGTCACATAACAAACTCCCCCTCTCCAAAAAAAAAGCAAAGTAAAGCATATTAGAAAGTTTTAGAGTTTGAAGAACAGTTAGGATGAAAATGTTATGACTGTAGAAAGAATAGGACAGAAGACAGAAAGGAGCAGAGAAAGACAAAATGAATATTGGAGAGTAAGAATATGGCATTTCCTGGACTATAAAAGTGGGACAGGCCACAGACTGGGAGAAAATATTTGCACAAGACGTATCTGATAAAGCACTGCTATCCAAAATATACGAAGAAATCTTAAAAACTCATCAACAAGAGGAAAAACATTTCAGAACAGACAAAAGATCAGGACACCTCCAAAGAACATATACAAATGGCTAATAAGCATATGGAAAGATGCTTAACATTGTATGTCATTAGGGAATTGCAAATTAAATTAACAGTGAGATATACTACTGGCTTATTAGAATGGCTGAGATCCAAAATGCTGACAACACAATTCTAGCAAGGGTGTGGAGCAACAGGAACTCTCATTCATTGCTACTGGGAATGCAAAATGTTACAGCCACTTTGGAAGACAGTTGGATAGTTTCTTATAAAACTAAATAGACTCTTATTGTGTGATCCAGTAGTTGTACTCCTTGGTATTTACCTAAATAAGTGGAAGTGACCAAAACGTCCTTTATTAGGTGAATGGATGAAATGGTAGTACATCCATACAATAGAAAAGCCAAAAAAAGGAGTTATTCAGCCATGAAAGGACATGGAAGAACCTTAAAGACATACCATAGGTTGAGTATCTCTTATCCAAAATGCTTAGGACCAGAAGTATTTTGGATTTTGGATTTTTTTGGATTTTGGAATATTTGCAGATGCATAACCAGTTAAACATCCCTAATCTGAAATCCTAAATGCTCCAGTGGGCATTTACTTAAAAAGTTTAGGATTTTTGAGTATTTCACATTTCCACATTAAGGATGCTCAGCCTGTACTAATTGAAGGAAGCCAGTTTGAAACTGGTATGTACTGTATGATTCCAAATACAGTATATAATGTTCTGGAAAAGGCAAAACCCATGAGGCAGTAAAAAGATCAGTGGTTGTGAGGAGTTGGGGAAAAGGATTTATGACTACATGGAGCACAGAGGATTTTTAGGGCAGTAAAAACAGTGTGATACTCTAACAGTGGATAAAAGGCAGAAAAGGCAAAACCCATGAGGCAGTAAAAAGATCAGTGGTTGTGAGGAGTTGGGGAAAAGGAGGTATGAATACATGGAGCACAGAGGATTTTTAGGGCAGTAAAAACAGTGTGATACTCTAACAGTGGATAAAAGGCATTATGCATTTGTCAAAACCCATAGAGTATACAACACAAAGAATGAACCCTAATGTAAACTATAGACTTTGGTTGATTAAAAAACAATGTAAAGTATGAGAGAAGTTTTTGGAAAGCTTTTAGTTTCCAGAATTATTTCTTATGGTGTTCCTTTACCTTTTTGGTGTTACAATATCTTAATAGTTTCATTTTATGACATATTTTCCTTCATCTTCCAGAATTTTTCTAATACACACATAGAGGAAAAAATGAATTTGCTTTGAAGATTTTGAGATATTTTTACAATATCAGGGTCAGCGAATTCCCTAATGAATTTTTCCCAAGCACAGTTAGTAATTACTTCTCCATGTTATACCTTTGGGATTTGAGTGCTTTTTGCTAAAAATTCAGGTTTTGGGGCCGGCCCGGTGGCGCACTGCTTAAGTGCGC